CGCGATAAAAATGCTTTCCGATAGGAGATTGTTTGTTAGCTGCCACTGTTGCAGGTTTTCTTGCAACTGCTGTTGTCTTTCTTCTTGTTTATTTTCTTTCTCCTCCAACCACTGCTGTAAACTGTTCGAGCTGCCACTGTCGCAGGTTTTCTTGCAACTGCTGTTGTCTCTCTTCTTGTTTCTTTTGCTGTTCTTGTATTGCTGCCATCAAATCTGCTAAGCTGTAGTTTGATTTGCCACTTCTCGTTTCCATCTTCTTCTTCTTCTTTTTTTTTCTGACACCAATTTGTTACGTCTGTGTTCGTTTGTTAATTTTTCGTAGAAATTCTTTCCGAAAAACTTCAGCACTACAACCCGTTTCTGAAATAAAACTAGTTTATTCTTTCTCATTTGAATTTTGCAATACACTTAATTTCCATAGTCACTTTAACTTAAACACACGCTATAATTCACAACGATTCACGCACTTTACTTACGGCTTGACTCGATTATCTGTCTCTATCTCCCTGCCTGCTATTCAATTATTCATGCCGTCACTTCTTTTGTCGGCTCATATATACCAAAATAGAGGGTGCATAGAGAAGACTAGAGTTGCCACGAACAGGCATGATCTTTCGAGAATCTCATGACGTGTTATTAGCGTCACGTGACTTCTGCTGTCGTAACAATATGTACTATTTGTTCAACAGAACTATTTTCTACAGCAGTTGTTTAACACCATTAATATGGCAAACAGTTTATGGGATCTTAATACGAAGGAAACAACTGCAACACATGGACTGACGTTTATCCTCAAATAATTGTGATAACGTTGCTAACTCGGTATTGAGTAGCTAGAAATATACCTTTGTGCAACTGCTTTTATAAATGCATCTTTAGCAGCCATAAATCAGACTTTGAAAATATAACACTGTTCATCCTTTCTGTTTAATCATAAATGAAACGTAACAAGCAATAGATGTATTAGCAGTGAAAAAAAACCTGATTTGTGGCGATTTTATTTGTTTAACAATAAATTATGCAACAAATCTCCAGTGGAATTTCTGTTAAATAAAATGTTTGAATCATTATAAATAATTAAGTAATTTCACGAATTTTCAAGATTTAATTTGCTAAGCATAATATCAATAATTTTCTTTATTTCTTTCGAGTTAACCTTAAAAATGTAGAGGCTCAGAATTTTTCCTTTAACTTGACTATCTTTAACTCTGCTACTCACCATGAATAAAATTTCGGTGGACGTTCCTTTTTAAATTCTGCTACTTACCTTGAACAAAATCATCCGCTGTATCGGATTTTTGGGACCAATTTTGTTGGACTTGAGATGTTTAGGTACTCCTTCTACCTCTTTTACTCTTATTATTTTATTACTGTATCACATGTTTTATATTCCATGTTTAATTTTTTTCTTCTAAAATGATTTTTGGTACTTTTTATTGGTTAAAACTTCTACTTCTTAGTGTTGTAGTTTAGTTTAGTTTACACATCAAGGTGTCCCCACGGAGGCTGAGTTAATAATGTTGTGTCCAGGTTGCTGAGGTTTTATTTTATCCACATAGAATCTTTCCGGTGACACTTTCCACGCTTACACAATGCTACATTTATTTTTTAGCATCCGTAAATAAAATTTAGCGTTTCCCTCTTTAAGCCTTGTCTTATATTATGGGTTTGATATCATTAGTTTAACATAATTACACAGAAATCGCTGATGTAGGTTTACGCAAAGTCCTGTGTTCGCAGTACAGTCCATTGCAGTAATAATGTAATACACACAAATACATTTATTTTAGCATAGTTAAAATAAACCCTTTTAAAAATAAAATAACAAATGTATCAGTAAAATTCTGTAGTCCAACCACTAAGGTGACTGTTTTAATAATATTATTTATTTTACGTAATGGCGAGAGGTACTTCTGATTTTGTCTATAATGTATAATATAGCTCTCTAAGTTGTATGTAAAACGGTTAAGTTTGTTGTACGGGGGGGTCTTTATAGGCTTTTGTGACTATAAAGTTTTGTGTTTTCTGTAGATGTTGTAACTATGTGCTAGAAACGTTCAGCCATGCCTTGTAGGCGTATTCTATGATTGGCCTAATGTATGTTTTATATACTGGTGAAGCTCTTAATTATTGCCTGCCAGACTCGCAAGATACCTCGCTCTAAGCCAGATACCCTTAGTACGATCAACCCACGTAAATTAATCGAGTGTCCCATCTCGATATAGGGGGGTTGTTCTGCTTTGTTTAATGGATTTTGTGAATAAAATTACCCGTGTTTTATGGGCGTTTATTTTGATCTTCTATTTGTTACAGTGTTATTCTATTTCGTTTAATATTGGTTGTATATTGTATGATGCTGTTATAGGATTTTTGGCACTCGTTCGTATCGCCACCTCGTCTGCGAACTGTGAGGAGTGTGTGGAATTTGAGTCTTTTAGAGGCATTTCGTTCACGTACATGATGAATAAGGTCGGGCTAAGTATTCCTCCTTGTGGGACTCCTGCCTCGGGGATGAAGATATCCCAGAAGGGGGGATTCCACATTTACTCTGATGCTCCTATCCTCCAGGAAGTTTGATAACCAGCAAATAATCTCAGTTGGAAGATCCATTTTGGACAATTTATATCTAAGGCCGTTCTGCCAAATTTTGTCGAATGCTATCTCCAAGCCAAGAAAACACCCGACCGTGCAGTGGTTTTTATTAAAACTGTTTATTATTTTCTCTGTTAATCTAATTAAGCCATCAGTAGTTTGTCGGTATTTTCTAAAGCCGTTTTGAACTTCTGGTAGTTTTGAAGTTAATTCTAGATAAGTGAATAATCTATTGTTTAGTATTTTAGCATTTTTTTCTACCAATTTTTTTATACAGATGGTTATACTGATAGGTCTGTAGTTTTCCGGGTTATTTGCTGGTTTACTCTCATTCGAGAACATAAGAACATCAGCTTGTTTCCAGGCAGTCGGTGTATAGCCTGATTTGATAGATTAAATAGTGCTGCCAGGTGGTTGTACAATCTCAGAGGCCCCTTTTCTTATTAGTATGTTTTGTATTCTGTCCTATTCTAATACTTCATTTTTGAGTGCTTTTATGTTGCTTATGGCTTCTGCAGTTGTGATTGGTTTGATTAATTGTTTTGTTATGTGGTCGTATTCACCTGCGTTGTTGGCTTTAACGTGAGGCGTGTTGAGGTGAAGTTGTGTGTTTATAGGTGGCTATTAATTTTACTTAATAGTTTACTATAATATATATATATGTGTGTGTGTGTTAAGAAAGTGATTATTCATGTTTGGTTCGTCTGGTGTTTTAAACTTTTTTTGTAGCTGTTCTTTAAAAGCACTTGCTCAGTTTATTTGTGTATGCGATTTTATTATTGTGTTTGAGTGTTGAATATGTTTGTTCTGTTATTTTTAGTTACCCTTTTTTATATGTGTCCAAAAATTTTTTAGGATCTGTTTTAATGTTTAATTGTGAACAGTAGGTGTCCCAGTGCTGTGATTTTAATCGTTCTATTTATTTCTGATTTAGTTTCTTAGTGTGTTTTTCTTAGTTTTTGTTTGGTGATCTCTCGTTACCATGTATTCTGATATTAGTTTTTGTTTGGTGATTTCTCGTTATCATGTATTCTCGTATTAGTTTTTGTTTGGTGATTTCTCGTTATCATGTATTCTCGTATTAGTTTTTGTTTGGTGATTTCTCGTTATCATGTATTCTTGTATTAGTTTTTGTTTGGTGATCTCTTGTTATCATGTATTCTCAGTATTAGTTTTTGTTTGGTGATTTCTCGTTATCATGTATTCTTGTATTAGTTTTTGTTTGGTGATCTCTTGTTATCATGTATTCTTGTATTAGTTTTTGTTTGATGATCTCTCGTTACCATGTATTCTCGTATTAGTTTTTGTTTGGTGATCTCTCGTTATCATATATTCTCGTATTAGGTTTTGTTTGGTGATCTCTTGTTATCATGTATTCTCGTATTAGTTTTTGTTTGGTGATCTCTTGTTATCGTGTATTCTCGTATTAGTTCTCTGTTTGGTGGTCTCTTGTTATAATGTATTATCGTCTTAGTTTTTGTTTGGTGGTCTCTTGTTATCGTGTATTCTCGTATTAGTTTTCTGTTTGGTGGTCTCTTGTTATAATGTATTATCGTCTTAGTTTTTGTTTGGTGGTCTCTTGTTATCATGTATTCTCGTCCTAGTTTTCTGTTTGGTGGTCTCTTGTTATAATGTATTATCGTCTTAGTTTTTGTTTGGTGGTCTCTTGTTATAATGTATTATCGTCTTAGTTTTTGTTTGGTGGTCTCCTGTTATAATGTATTCTCGTCTTAGTTTTCTGCGTTCTTGTATTTTGTCTATTAGTAGCTTCTGTTGTTTCCATGTTGTGTAATTGACGTTCCTTCTTTAACTCTGCTACTCACCTTGAACAAAGTTTCGGTAGACGTTCCTTCTTTAACTACTGCTACTCACTTTAAACAAAGTTTCGGTAGACGTTCCTTCTTTAACTCTGCTACTCACTTTAAACAAAGCTTCGGTAGACGTTCCTTCTTTAACTCTGCTACTCACCTTGAACAAAGTTTCGGTGGACGTTCCTTTTTTAACTCTGCTACTCACCTTGAACAAAGCTTCAGTGGACGTTCCTTTTTCAACAATTGGTATTATATCAGGGAACTTCAACAAATCCTGAAGATTTTGAATCCGGTCTTGACTATCTCTGAAAAGAAGCCAAGCTTTGATGTTTCCACTGAAGCTATTGGTTAAGATCACAAGTCCAATCCACCAAAATCCAATCAGGAGGCGTCCAGAAGTACAAGACGGAAGTTGTGGCATGCCTTGGAGAATAGAATGTTAACAAAAACAAACAAAAAACACAAATATTTTTGTTTAGATACTCTTAATTTACCTGAAATTCCCAGGATCTGATGCTGAAATTGCTAAGATGTTTGATAGAAAATTTTGATACTATATTATTCTTAATATAATATTTTAATACATCCTAAATGTTAACGTTTCGTAAACTTCTTGGTTATGGTTGCCTTAAAGGTTTAAAGACGAAGGCATAATAAAAATATATATTGTTCCCCTCCTCCCCTTATTCTCTAAGAGGACGTGTTTGACTATTATTAACATATTTATGATCGTAGTGCTAGGAAAATCTAAGGTTAAACCTAACACTAGGAATTGGTTGTTGAATCAGGAATCTGTTGCTAAGTCGGTTTGGTACGTATGCATTTCAACTGGTTATTTGTTTTAATATGTAATAAATGTAATAAAGTATCTCAGTCATATGTGAAAATATGTTTAAAATGTATTATTTTACAGTTACAACGTATCTGAATCTCGTGGTGTGAGTTAGAGCTTTTCAAAATTCTATACTGATGTTACCACTGTGTTCAACAAACTGTAATTTTGTAGCACTGAATGCAGAAATAAAGAACTAATTTATAATTCGATTCAAGCAATCTGGGTAGTTTCTTACACCTGTGTTAGTGAAGCTTGTACTTCTTTATCTTTATAACTACATCAGCAAAAGACATTATTTAATTTTTTCACTAAATTACTCTCACTCTTTGAACTTCTTACAAATGATTAGATGTTATTTTACCACTATGCTACGTCATTATTTTATTTTTTTCACTAAATTACTCGCTCTCTTTTAACTTCTTACAAATGATTAGATGTTATTTTACCACTATGCTACGTCAGAAAGAGGAATAAAAAAATGGAATTTGTCTCTTTGTCAATTCATCGAATCTTTTAAACATTTTCACATAGATACAGTGAGTACGGATTTCATAAATATACGTTAATCTTTATTCATACTCGGCTAGAGTTTTAACGTAAATTTCAATCCTTATTAGGTTTAAATCCTGAAACATACTTTTGATGATTTAATCAAGAATTGAAAGTGAGACGTTGTATGTAATTTACCTTGTGTACAAATACACCCGAATAGGGCTACCAGTTTTTTCACCACGAAATTAGGATCCACTTTTTCCTTTGACGTAACCAGAAAGATGAGACAATAAACCATGCAAACAACAAAAAGGGCCAAAAGTATCGATGCCCACACCTACAATAACAAAAAAGAAAGAAAACGAATATCTGTACAAAAATATCATTCAAAGTGCTTGTGCTACTTTCTTCTGAGTTAATAGATCTTATGAATATAATAAGACAAAATATATTTCAACAGAGGAAGCACATTATTAGAACATGTATGTTGTGAGTATAGAAACCAAAGTATTTTTACTGTCCGTACAAGCTGTTGTTTCTTTCCCTTTTTACTGTTTCATATCTGTTGAGAAACTTAACACAAATACGATACCGTATAACCCGAGCGCTTTCGAAAGATCGACCTTTCTTCTTCTTCAGGGACACTCTAGGATTGATTGATTTCTTGAACCTACGTGTTTTCGTAACATCACGAATGTTGAGAAAATTGATTTGAATTAATGTTACTGTGTTCGTAAAATAATAATTTTGAATACTTGTACTTTGATGGCGTAGGACTGTAAGGGTGGATAACATTTATACAGCTGTTACGACAGTTTTGATAGGGAACTTAAACTATGTTGCTGTGTTACGTCTCTGTTCGTTTGTTAATTACCCGTAAAAATTATTTCGGAAGAACTTCAGCGATACAAGTCCTTTCTTAAATACACTTAATTTCCACAGTCACTTTAACTTAAACACATGCTATAATTCACAAAGATTCACGCGCTTTACTACCGCGCTTGACTCAATTAACCGTCTCTGTCTGTCTGCAATTATCTATATATATGCCGTCACTTCTCGCCGGTCTTATATATACGAATTAGAGGGCGTCTGGAGAACACTCG